TAACCAGCCCTCCCTGGTCCAGGCCAGTCTAGCCCGTTCACTCATTCATCCCCCCAAAATGTGTGTCAGGCCAGACACAGAAGGCAGAGACAGGGACAGTTTTGCCCTCACGGAGCCAGTGGAGGGAATGATTGTGTAGGTGAGCCCGGTGTCCACCCAGGGACATCAGCAGGAGCTCAGGAGCAGGGAGTGGCTTCTGGGTCTGCAGTCTCCTCTCGCAGTTGTGGGTCACCACCCCCCACGGGCCCCCATCACTGAATGGGGGGAGAGAACCTAGGCCCTAGGGGAAGGTTTTTTGAACCACCAAAAGTAAACCCAGGGACCAGAGAGAGTCCAAACGGTAAGGCACTTGCCCAGCACGCAGAGGCCGTGGCCTGGATTCGATCCCAACCACCACATGTGCTCCCCTAAATACCACCTGGCATGGTCCTTGAACATCGAGCCAGGTGTGACCCCTGAGCTCTGCTGAGTGTGGCCTCCCCCCCCCCACACCACCACCACCAAATTTCATCCCAAATCACGCCATGAATCCGAGGTGCATGCCCATGTTGTATTTCTGGGGCAGAAAGGGTCACATAGGAGAAAGGTTTAAGAAGGCCTGTCTCGGCCGGAGAGATAGTACAGCAGGTATGGCGTTTGCCGTGTACACAGCATCCCATGTGGTCCTCCAGGCCCCGTCAGGAGTGATCTCTGAGCACAGAGCCAAGAGTCAGCCCTGAGCATCTCCGGGTATAAACCCTAATAAGAAAGCGTGTCTTACTGGGTAGAGCCCTAAGCAGGCAGCCTGAGAAATGACCAGCAGGTGCCTCCCCAGAGCCAAGAACAGTCCTCTGCCGAGTCCTCCCGTCTCTTCCTTCTCCCTGGCATGCCCGCGCCCCCGTTTCCTGAGAGCCGGACATTCTTGCATGCAGCCTTGGCTGTCCCCACCCGGCCCTCAGCCTGTATCACCCAGAAGCACAGAGCAGCTGTGCAGGGCCAGCCCGGGGCCGCTTTACAATGGGGTCCCACCCAGCCCAGGGAGGTCATGGCCGGGGAAGGGCTGAGAGGCCATCAGGAGGCCCCGCAAGAGGAAGGGCTGGGCTCGGGAGGAAGGACGGAAGGGAACGGAGGGGTCAGGAGCTGAGCCCTACACACACACACACACACACACACACACACACACACACCGTCCCTGCAGAAGTACCGTGGAGGGGGGGGGACAGGGAAGGGGAGGGCCTGAATGACTCCCTGCCACATTAGTCACGGGCAGCATGCTAGAGAAGTAGCCCGTTAGGTCACCTGCAGAAGGGACCTGTTGTGACAGAAGGTCTCCCTGAGCCCAGCTCTAGCCCCTAGAAGGGCTGAGTAGACCCTGCTCTGGCCTGTCCATCTGTCGGGGCTAGCGCGTTTCGGCTTCTTTGAAACTTCGACCCTGCTGCTGTGTGACGTCAGCCTCCCTTGGTTACAGCTCTGGAAACCCCGGCCCGGCCCCTCTCTGTTCTCACCCCAAGTAAGCCAAGTGTCTCTGTCCCAGGCCCGTCCTTTGCCTGCTGGGACTCCGTTGGCTTTCTGCCGCTCAGATGCCTCACACGTGCCACTGGCTCCTTCTTCCAGGAGTCCAGAGATTCGTGCTGCGAGTTTCTCCCTTTGCAAGCAGGTGCAGCGGCCACCAGCTCGGGGCCTCCAGAGTTGCCAGGCAGAAAATGGAATTGGCAGAAGGTGATGGGCACAGAGTGGATGTGGGCGTGGGTTCAGGATTCTCTCCGGTCACCGGGTATTGGTGGTGGCCAAGCTCGGGTCTAGCCAGTAAGGCCATTCAGTTCAGGAAAGAGGGAGGAGCAGGACACTCAGAATTTAAACCTTCATCTTCTTTGACAAAATACAGATCTTTGGGGGCCCTGGGGGTGTAGGAGGGGAGAAGAAGCCCAAAGAACAATCTCGTTTGTGAAGGTCTTTTGGAAAGCACAGGGCACTACAGGGGAGTCAAAGCTATGGCTTACACGCGGTCACGTCTCTGTCTCTGTCCTGCGCACAGGACAGACATCACTAGATGCTAGAGCCTCATAAGGCTCTCAGGACATCTGGGAATTCCGCTCAATGTTTATTCCTGGAGGCCACGACAGTTGTTTGAGATTGTAAAACAAGAAGGCACCTCTGCCCGGTGGCCTGCATAAACTCTGGGCATTCCTGCAGTGAAAGAGACTCGCAGACCCAAGCTGCTGTAACAAGCAAGAAGTCAAGAGGTACATATGTGCATGGGCCAAGAACAGAACTCTGATACCCGGCTCGGCCTACTTCCCACTGACTGTCATCAGCTATCACCTCCGATTGGCCCCACGTCCTGTGCTCACAGTACCAGCTCCGTGGGTGCAGCAAAGGCGCCACCATGCAGGGCAGGCTCCAGGGAGAGCCGGAAAGGCCAGGCAGCTGCAGTGCCCCAGGACATGCCAGCTGGACTGGCAGTGAGAGGGGCCACCACCAAGCCCAGCAGCCGGGGTGCCGGCAACCCAGCTACTCTCTGTCATTCCGTATGGATTCCCTGAACAAACTCCCACATCGCCCCATCGCCCCTTCCCCCAGGGTGCCCGAAGGGGTAAAGGGTTCCTGCAGCCCCCAGTGCGCCCTCCCTGCCCAAGTCCCCCAGACACAGTGCTCCCTGGAAAGGTTTTGTTGCCCTGGCTGCCCTGAGGAGGGAGGTCTGACTTGGCCAGGGGCAGGTCTGAGCCAGGGGCAGGTCTGACAGGGGAGGTCTGACTTGGACAGGGGCAGTCCAGGTTACCTTCTGTTTCCTATGAATCTGTTTCCTATAGGGCCCCTCCCCACCTGCTTCCTGAGCCCCTCCCAGGGAATGAGAGAGGTGATGAGGTGATGGGGTTGAAGGTACAGGGCCCTCAGGAAAGGTGAGAAAGCCAAGATAAAGTTAGAGGCCCAGCATTATCTCAGACTTTTTTCCCCCTTGCTTTTTGGGTCACGCCCTGCGATGCACTCAGGAATTACCCCTGGTGGGGCTCAGGGGACCATATGGGATGCTGGGAATCGAACCCGGGTTGGCTGCGTGCAAGGCAAGGCAACAGTCACCCTACCCGCTGTGCTATTGCTCCAGCAACAATCACCCTACCCGCTGTGCTATCTCAAACTCGATGAGCTAGGGCCTGAAGCACTGATTTCCCTGCATCTCCCTCCCCTTAACCACGCCCCCTGACTCAACCCTGCCCTGCAGCCTACTTCGGCTAGGGCTAGTTCCAGCCCCTTACTCTGGGCAGTGCACCCCAGTCACAGGGGATAAGCCAGAGCCCAGGGCTGGCGCCACCAGACGTACTGTCACCCTGACCAAGGAGGCAAGGAGAGTTGCTCTGAGCCCCTCTCTGTCCCACCCTAAGGCCTGCAGTGGGGTCTCAGCAGGAGGTGGAGCCTGGGGTGGGCGGGGCCTATGGTCACAGCAGGAGGTGGAGCCCGGAGGGGGCAGGGCCTGTTGTCACAGCAGCGGGTGGTACCTGGAGCGGGGTGGGGTCTGTTGCCAGGGCAGGAGGTGGAGCCCGGGGTGGGGCGGGGCCTGTGGTCACAGCAAAAAGTGGAGCCTGGAGTGGGCGGGGCCTGTGGTCACAGCAGGAGGTGGAGCCTGAGGGGGCGGGGTCTGTTGCCAGGGCAGGAGGTGGAGCCTGGGGTGGGGCGGGGCCTGTGGTCACAGCAGAAAGTGGAACCTGGAGTGGGCGGGGCCTGTGGTCTCAGCAGGAGGTGGAGCCTGGGGTGGGCGGGGCCTGTGGTCACAGCAGAAAGTGGAGCCTGGAGTGGGCGGGGCCTGTGGTCTCAGCAGGAGGTGGAGCCTGGGGTGGGCGGGGCCTGTGGTCTCAGCAGGAGGTGGAGCCTGGGTGGGCGGGGCCTGTGGTCTCAGCAGGAGGTGGAGCCTGGGGTGGGCGGGGCCTGTGGTCTCAGCAGGAGGTGGAGCCTGGGGTGGGCGGGGCCTGTGGTCTCAGCAGGAGGTGGAGCCTGGGGTGGGCGGGGCCTGTGGCCACAGCAGCGGGTGGTGCCTGGAGCGGGGTGGGGTCTGTTGCCAGGGCAGGAGGTGGCGCCTGAAGCTCAGAGTAAATTTCACCGAAAACAGGAAACCACGAAGCCGAGTTACAGGCTCTGCTCTGGGGCCAGAGAGAGCTGGGGGCCTTGCAGGAGGAAACTGGGGAGGAAGTGGGCGGCTTTTACCGCGTGTCCTCCTGCTGCACGGAGCTGCAGCCAGGCGTGGGGTCTGGCGGCCAAATTCTTAGAAGTTATCTTGGTCGTGAGGTCAGGCGCGGAGGGCTGGGTGGGGCCAGGCTCCTGGAAGGGCAGCTGCGCGTTTCTGCGCTGGAGAGCAGGCAGGCGGCTCTGTACACTTGTCTTTCACCCTGAGGGGTAGCTGTGAGCAGGGTGTTACCCCGTGCGTGCCTGCTTCCTGGCCCCCTCGAGCAAGGAGACTGGCCCTCTCTGTGGCAGTTGGCACTGAGTGCTGCGGATGGAGCAGAAGGGGCTCCAGAGACAAACCAGAGCCGGGGAGAGGAGGGCTGATGGCCCAGCACCCACACAGCAGGGAACCCGCATTAGCCCTTAACCTCAGGCCTAACAAGGACTTTGAAGCAATGCCAATGTCCAGGGGCTCCCCAACTCCTCCCCCACACCCCACTCCCCCAGGCAAGTGTGCAGACTTCTCCCAGGCCCTCTGAAGGTCTTTTGTTTTGTTTTGGGCCAGACTCCATGGTGCTCAGGACGATCCTGGCTCGGCACTCAGATCACTCCTGGGAGTGTTTGGGGGACCACGTAGGATCCGGGGATTGAACCTGAATTGTCTTATGTGCAAGGCAAAGGCCCTAATACTGTACTACACCCACCTGAGGTCTTCAGGCGCTGAGGGTTTGAGCCAGCCACTGTAAGCCAGGCCTCTTGTCCCCACCAAACTCGCCCCGCCCCCTGGGTCGCCCGTTTCCACAAGCGGGCACAGGCCCAACCCACAACACCAAACCCTCTCAGGAAACCCCACAAAGGCTTCCAGGTACACACGTTTATGAAAAACAAACCCAGGCCAGCCTGAAGCAGGAGGAGAGTCAAGAGTCAAGAGTCCAGAGCAGAGCAAGCCCGAGCCCTTCTATGTACATGGGGGTCCCCATCTTCCCCCCCGGCACAGTCAGAGCAGAGCACCGAGGCCTGGGGTGGGGGCAGGAGGGTCCCCAGGCCTCAAGCCTCCAAGCAGAGTGTGGGTTGGGATCCAGCTCTCCGATCCCTCCAAGGGTCTCATCTGCTGCCCAACGCCCCCCCCCCCCCCTTCTCATTCCCAAGTGTCACAGTCTGGGCCCCAGGTGAGGCTGTCACCAGCAGAGGGCTGGGGCGTGGCAAACCAAGGTGGACACTTCGGTACGACCTTCCCAGCAGCTCCCCACGACCCCCACACATATGCAGAGGGAAATACAAACTTGGGCCTGACCTCCGTTGCCCAAGATGCCGGTCACTCACGGTGCCACCAGGCCTAATCATACTCCGTTAGGGACTCGGGGCAGTAACCCCAGCATTGCTTAGCCTGTTGGCCGCCCAGTGTGGGGTGGCTGGGAGGAGGCCACGGTGGCCTGGGGCAGGCCCACACTGCTCCTGTATCTTTACAAAGAGTGAGTCTTACAGAGGCTGCTCCCATCCTGGCCCCTGCCCCATCTCCTGCCTGGACACGGGGTCCACTCAGGCCCTACGTGCCCGTCTCAGGTCCAGGGGAGAGGCTGCACGGAGCTGGGAATGCTGGGTCTTTAGGGTGGCGCTGGCTTGGCATCTGTAGCTGGTGCATGTCAGGTCTCTGGGGTGGGTCCCAGCCTCCGCCCTCCTTAGCACAGCAAACAGGGTCCAGCGTCTTCTCCCTCCTGCCACGGAGCGTCCAGATGGGCCGAAGGGCTGGCAGGAGCGTCACGGTCAGAGCAGGCCGGAAGGAAGCAAGATCAAGGCCAGAGGACCGCACAGGGCCAGCCTTGGCTCAGAGGCGCCTGTCTCCGCCCTGACCACTGTCTGTCACTGGCCCTAGATGGCTTCAGAGTTAGGGGAGTCAGGCACAGGGTCTGCAAAGGAAAGAGAGCGAAATAAATATAGGGACCCTCTACCTGTCACCCCCCCCCAGTCCCATGCCATGGCTGGGGGACCCTCCCGGGAGGGTGAGCCCTGCAGGCGCCAGACACACTTACCTAGGGATGGAAAGAAGACGTCCCCGGGGCCCAGGGGAGACAGGGGGGTATTGGGCTCCGAGAGCAGGTGTCTCCCCGACTCAGAAAGCTGCCGCTGGGCCACGTAGGTCAGAGGAGGCCTGGGCTTGGCCTCGGCTGGTCCTTGGGAGGGCGGAGAGGTCTCAAAGCCCGGATTGTCGAGTCCTTGAGCACTGCTGTTGGGAGAACCAAAAGGAAGGCCGTTCGCGGGCAAGGCCGGGCTCAGCCTCTGCCTCCTGTGCTCCCAGCTGCTCCCCGGCAGGGGGTGGAGGTAGAACCCTCAGCTCTGGGCAGCTGGGAGGCTGCTGGGCTCAGGAGTCAGGCAGAGTCCTCTCTGGGCAGCGGGATGAGCGCGTGTGGACTGCAGGCCCTGCAGCTCATGCCCGAGTGAAGGGAAGCGTTCTCTTTCTGTGTGGGCAGGGGAGGCACCTGTCCGCCACCCCCAACTCAGGATCTCTCAGGGTTGCCTCTGACCTGGCGTGAAGCTCAGGCACGGGGACTGTCTGGGCGTGTCCTCGGGAGCTGCAGCCCATGTGGGCCGGGCAGCGTCTGCACCTGCAGCCTGGCAGCCCTCCAGGGATGCTGGGGCCACAGCTCCTCTGGCCTCCTTTGCATGCTCAGAGTCTGCTCAAGTTCAACCGCATCCCCCTCTCTGTCTCCCACCCCTGCAGCTGACCACAGAGCCCCCCCCCCCCGGGGTGGTGTGCCTCCCAGCGTGAGGGGGTAGGTGTGGGGCCTCAGCAGCCAGCTGGGCGAGGCAGCACAGGGGCCCGCGGACCGGAAACATCTCCTCCTGTCAGGGCACGGGGAGACTAGGGGTCACGTAAGCTCTGATGGTGGCGGCACCATCGTTACTGGCGCAGAGAGGGAGAGAGAGAGAGAGAGGGCGTCCTAAGGGGGCCCGAGTCCAGGGTTAAAGCACTTTGCCTTACACGGGACCGACCTTGGGTGGGTCCCCGGCCTCACACAAGGTCCCCGAGCCTCCCAGGAGTGATCCCTGAACGAAGAGCTAGAAGGATAAGCCCTGAGCGCAGCCAGGTGTGGCCTCAGAACAGACCAACCCAGAAAGGTCAAGTGCGGGGAGGGTCGATGTTGGTGACAGGTTTCCTCCCCACTTCCACACTGACAGTCCGGGGGGAGCCACAGGCCCTGGGAGGCAAGGAGGGAGGCCGGACTGGGCGTCAGTGCCCAGGGAGCTAGGGCCTTTGTTTCTGGGCCTTACCTGTCCATCCGCACCAGCTCCTGGGCACCTGGGGACAGACGGACAGAGAAGCTGGTCACAAAGGGAGACTTCCTAGGACCCCTCCTGTACCCACTGCAGAAGTCCCTCAGCCCTGGACCCCACTTCCATCCACTCGGGCCAGCAATGCTGCGTCTCAGCTCCCAGCCGCTGAGGCTGTGGTGACAGAGAGAACTCTGTCTGTGTTGGCCATGCGTAGAGGCCGTTTGTGGCCAAGAGTCCAGAACTTTCTTGTGGGGCCCAGGTGTTAAGAGTCACCCCAGGCCTGGAGCTCATTGGCTCCTGCTTGACCCTTGGCCCCGGTTCAGCAGGTGGGAGCACCTCAAGGCACGTTTCCCGGGACAGGGTGGCTGTCCTGCCCTGTGCCTCTGTCCCCTCCTCCACGCTGCCTCAGAGGGTGACTTTCAAGGTGACGTTACATCCTTAGAGGAACTCGGAGGTGCAGGGGTGTCCGACACGATATCGCTTCTCAGTCGCTTTACACACTTTCTCTTCCTCCTCTGAGTTTCTGCCACCCTGTCCCTCCCCCAGGCCGGCCACCAATCAGATGCCAAAGCCCCAACTTCCCTCTTCTCAAGCCTCTGTCTTCCCCCCCCCCCCCATGAGCCTCCAAGATCACGGCTTTCAGTGCAGAGAGCTGAACGGAGAAGCAGTCGGGGGTGTGTGTGTGAAGGGGGGTGGGGGCAGAACCTTCGCAAGAAAATTGCACCCAAGTTCCTGAAATCTCCAAAATCCACACCCGCTGGTTACTGGCTGGCCCCTGAGCCTCTCACTTCCTGTACCCGATACTGCTGTGCCCCCTTGCCTGCCCGCAATAGAGGGGCATGGGATCGGCTTCCCACCCACTGGCCCCGCAGCACCTGCGGCCCCTGCCTCCGCTGGCCCTCTCCCTCTCCCTGGCGTTTGTCCTCAGTGTGGCTTATGTCTGAGCATGCCCCTGAGTGCCAGGATTGGTGCCGGCATCCTGCCCTAAGTGCGCCCGTAAGATTCCCTGTCCACTCCATGCCTGCTCTGGGCACCTGCCTCTGCCCTTTGGCTGGAGTCCTGAGGCTCCAGCTGAGAATTTCTTTCCCAGGAACCCCAGGGGACCGTGGAGGAGGGTGGGCTCAGCACCCCAGAGTCAGCTCCTGCTCATCCCGCCACCCCTTCTCTCCCTCGCATCCCCTGATTTCTCTGGCCCTGTCCTCCAGTTTTGCGAGCATCGGAGGCGGGGGGGGACAGTCACAGAGAACCGGGCCTTGGGGGGCTGGAGATAGAGTCCAGCAGGGAGGGCGCTTGCCTTGCCTGAAGCCAACTCAGGTTCCGTCCCTGGCACCCCGTGTGGTCCCCTGAGTGCCTCCAGGAGTGATTCCTGAGCACAGAGCCAGCAGTAAGCCCTGAGCTTGGCCAGGTTTGTCTCCCCAGCAATGAAGCAAACGAAGAAAAGAAGCAGCAGCCTCTCAGGGCCCCCCCGTGGCATGCAGTGGCCCCAGGGTTGGAGCCCACCGGGGTCGGTCGGGGATACTCACGGCGGTTGGAGGCCGCCTGCCTCTGCTTGTAGACCAGGAGCAGGATGAGGGGCAGGCAGAGGATGCCCACGATGCAGGCTCCCGTCGCCAGCGCCGCAGCTGTGATGTCTGGAGGGTGGAGAGGAGCCCGGGTGAGACCCTGCTGCTGACCTTCCTTCCCAGGGGACGCTGAAGTCCAGCTAGAGAAGGCCAGACCAGGCCCCACCGCCAGGGTCTCTGTGACCCCCCAGAGGGGCAGAAAGTCTGGTGCCCCCTTTCTGAAAGGAACCCCATGACACCTCATGTCGTGGGCCCAGCTGCTGATAGCTGGGGCTGCTGGGGAGGAGAGAGCAGGGGGTTCCCATCGGCCCCCCATCCCCCACTCCTGGGGGCTCAGGTGCCCCCTGCGGGCAAAGCAACCTCAGTATAAATACGCAAGGGCCAAAGGAGTTCAGTCCAAAACTATTTTGGGGTTGGGGGCCCAGACCCAGTGATGCTCAGGGGCTATTCCTGGTTCTATGCGGTGAAGTCACTTCCCAGCCGTGCTTGGACCTTGTGGTATCAGGGATCAAACCCAGGCTTCCTGTGTGCAGAGCTTGGATTTGGGCCATTGAGCTATCTCTCCAGAACTCCAAAACCCAAACAAAACAAAATCAACATCTGGAGAGACTGGAGAGATAATCCAGGAGCTGTAGGCGGCTGCAGGGCTGTGATGCTGGTTCAAATCCCCAGAGCACCACCAGGAGTGACCCCTGAGACAGTGCCAGAATTAGCCCCTGAGTACCACACTCCCCAAAACCAATGAAAAAAAAAAAAAAACAACTTCTAGGAATAGTGGGGTTGTACCACATGGTAAAGGTAGTTACCATGTGCCACTGTAATCAGTGCCACTTAAGGTGGTCAGAGTGGCAGATTTCATGTTCTCTGTGTTTTACCACAGAAAACTATAAATGAACTGAAAAATCCAGCTCAGGGGCTGGAGCAATAGCACAGCGCGTAGGGCATTTGCCTTGTACGCGGCTGACCCAGGTTCGATTCCCAGCATCCCATATGGTCCCCTGAGAACCCCCAGCGGTGATTCCTGAGTGCAGAGCCAGGAGTAACCCCTGTGCATTGCCAGGTGTGACCCCCCAAAAAATAAATAAATAAATAGTCCAGCTCATGTCTGAGTGAGCCCTTGCAACAGCCAAGCTCTGGACACCCACCTCTTCAATCCCAGACACAGAAGTCACAAAGGAGAACTAGGAGCAAATCTGGATCTTATCTGGCCTTTAAAACGTTTTCAGGCGCTGGAGATAATAGTGACTCAAGTTTGATCCCAGGCACTCCATATTGGCCCCCTGTCCCTGCCAGGAGTGATTCCTGAGCTCAGAGCCGGGAGTGACCCCTGAGCACTGCTGGTGTCACCCCCAAAACAAAGCAGAACAAAATAGTTTTTTCATTTGGGGGCCAGAGGGCTAGAACCAGGGCTCAAGTTCTTGGCTTGCATGTGGCCCCCACACTGCATACCGTGTTCCCTAAGCACCACCAGGAGTGACCGCTGAGCACTGCTGGGGGTGGTCAATGCCCCCCCCCCGCCCGCCCCGTGATATAATTTTACAAATTAAAACTAAACAGCATGCATTAAAAAAAAATATTTCAGGGGAGGGAGAGATTGCACAGCAGTTGTTAGCGCTTGCCCTGGGTTCCATCCCCGGCATCCTAAGCACCGCCAGGAGTGATTCCTGGATGCAGAGCTAGGAGTAACCCCTGAGCATCGCCAGGTGTGCTTCCACAAAATAGGTGTTGTTGTTGCTGTTGTTGTTTTTCAAATTTTTACTCCCCCTCTCCCTGGGGCCCCTGCAAAGAGTCAACCGTGGGTTTCCTGTGTGATCTAGGAAAGTTCCCTGCAAACACTGCGCCTGTGGGATGAGATGGTGATGAGTTTGCCAAGTCTGTCTTAGAGAGGGATCTCATCTCACCTGGGCAGAAATCCACACTCGCCTGAAGTGGGCCCTCGTGGCCTCTGTGGGCCTGTGGGCCCTGCCACCCCAACACGCCTGCCCTCTGGGGCTGCCTCTCTGCCCAGGTTTCTGGTGGTGTCGGGCTGAGCCCGGAGTGTGTGCGCTTCCTTCCTAAATCGCTCGGCAGAAGGACTGGAGTGAGTTCCCCCACCCCGCTGACGACAGGTGGGGACTTGCGACTCATTTGCTGACTCCGCGGGTTTCTCTGGGAACAGACATGCCCTCAGAACCACAGCCGAGGAAAATGAGTTTCCTTCCTAATTTTAGCGCTGTCCCTTCTCCCCCGGCTCAGAAGGGCAGGGAGACGCTGTCCCAGGGTCCCACTCAGTTCCTGGGAGCACCGGGACTTGGGCTGAGGTCTCTGCGTTGGCCTTTTCGGGCCTTCTTTGGGAATCAGATCTGGTTTTGATCTCATTGTGCGGCTCCACAAACCCGAGGTTGTAAACAAGCTTTCGGGCGGTTGGTTCACACACCGCAGAGAACAAACTGTTTTTTTGACGCTGTCAGAGCAGCTGCTGGTTCAGGAGGAGCAGACATGTGACCCCGGGCCCCCGGCCTCTGCCTGTGGCATGCTGTGCAGAGGCCACAGCCCTCGCCCAGACCGTTGGGGGCTGCTGGCCCCCCGCAGGACCCCCCCGAGAGAACCCGGCTGCAGTGAGCTGGTCCTAGTCATCTCCGAGGTCTTTGGGGCAGGGGTGCGACTCTCCCTCAGTTCAGAACCACCCGGCCCCTCTATCCTGCAGGGTTCCTGTGCCCAGGCCTGGCCCCCCTTCCTCGGCCCTTCCTGACTGAAAATTGGGATGGGCCAAGGCTTGGGGCTCCTCTGGAGACCCAGCCCTGACACGTCACCATGACTCTCTGCACAGTCAGTTCCTGCTCAAGCGAGAGCCCCTCCTACTTGCTCCCCAGCTAGGGCCAAGCTCATCCTGGCCCAAGAGGTCACTGCAGGCTAAACCACACCCGTCCACAGCAGCGGGGTGCAGCCACGCTGCTCAGAGAGGCCCTGTCCAGGGCCCGCCAGGGTCCTCCTCCGGTCCTGCAGAGGACAGAGCTCACATGGATGGCCTTTTCTCCAGGGTGGCCAGGATGAGAGCAAACCAGCCTACAGTGCCAGGAAAGGGCACTTGTAGGGAGAGGGGCTGCGCACCTGCTTTCCGAAGCCCCCCGCCCCAGACCTGCTTGGGCACTGGCTGTCTCTGTCCTGCCCCACCCCCCTGTTCCCCATCCCTGGACCAGCTGTTCTTCCCTTCCCCAGAGATAGCACAGTGACAGCAGAGCTCGGGGCTCCGTTTGCTTGCGTGACCGGAAGCCCTCTTAGCCAGGTACACAGTCTGGCTGCAGGGCGCCTGTCTTAGAAAGCAGGGACCCGGGACTTTCCAATGGGAAGCACCCCATTCCCCCATCACCAGTAAGCAGATGTTTCCAGACAGCACCGGGAGCTGTCCACGGTCTGCGGGCACCTCTCACCACCCTCCCTTGCACAGGGGCAGGGATGAGGAGACCAGTAGACTGTAGCCTAGAACTGCTTTCGAGGTGGCCGAGGCCAGCAGGTGCAGTGCCAGGCGGGGTGTCAGCACACTGGCACCCAGTGGCCTGCCTGCGGTGGCACCCAGTGCGGGATAGGCCGCATGGCTCGTGTGTGACTCTGTGAGCCTAAGACCCGGGCATCTAAAGATGGAGCCCTGTCGCTAAGTGCCTGGTGTCAGTTGAGAGTTCTTCCCCTTAGCCTAATGACAGCCGGAAGCCATGATGAGCATCCTCTTCTGCATTTCACGGATGAGGCCAGCAGGCCCCGGCCCCCTGTTGGGCAACGTGGCTGATTTCGGAATCCAGACTCTCGGCTGCGTGACAGAGCTTCCTTTCACTAGGAGAACCTGAAGTCTCAAGTGGCTACCAGGCCACACACAGAACCTCTTCAATGAATTGCCCACAATTTTTTGGAGGGGACCACACCCGGTGGTGCTCAGGGTTCACTCCTGGCTCTGTGCTCAGGGAACCATACGGGGTGCTGGGAACTGAACCTGGGTGGGTTGCGGCAAGACAGGCGCCCTACCCGCTGATTATTACTCCTGCCCAGAGTGGCCCATATCTTAAAACCGAGAGCGTGCATGGAGTCTGGGCTTCTGGAGGCTTCTAGGCCTCTCAGCACCCGCCCCCCACCCATGCAGCACCACCCCAAGGCCCGGGTGGGCACAACCTGCAGTCCCCACCTGTTCTTCCAGCTCACTCTTGAGCTGCCCAGCGGGGACATGTGGGTCCTGGTCCTTAGTCTACACTGCCCACCCTCCATTGGCTGCAAAGTAAACCGCTTGCTCCCTCTTTCTTGGTGATCACGTGGTCCCCAGACCATGCAAGGACTGTCCAGGGGGCCCTTTGGCCTGTAAGAGGCCAGTTCAGAGTAGCTCAGGATGGCGAGGGTGGCCTGAGATGCATGTACCCCGCAGCCAGAGAGGAGGGGCGTGAGCCAACCAGAGAGCGAGGCCCCGCCTCACTCTCGCCGGGCACGGGCACCTTCTGCCCACTCTGGCTGTCATCAACCCAACTCTGGGACTCCCCAGGCCTCTGTGGCCTCAGCTCCCACTGCTGTTTCCCCGGAATCTGGATCCAGGCACACTGCCTGGTCCTCCCCCCAGCCTCCTCCTGCCCCCAGTTTCCCTGCATCTGGCCATCCTTCTGCACCCCTTGGTGTCTTTAAGGGGTCACTCAGCTCGTTTTCCGAAAGTCAGTATGGACGGAGGGGAGGGGAGTGCCACGCACGTGGGCTGGGTTTGCCCCTGTGGACCCGGCATGCCGGTGTCTCCTCTTGGTTCTGACTCTGAGACACACAGAGCAAGTGCCTCTACCTGCTTGCGCCTTGATTTCCCCATCTGTGAAATGGGCCTGCCGTGGCTGTGTAAGGACCTGGGAAGAAGCAGGGCTGCCCAGAGTGGACTAGGACTCACGTGTGCCCCCACCCCCCCTGGTGAGCTGCAGGTGCCAGGGTGGAGGGCAGGAGCCTCAATGCCAGGGCCGTCTGTGAGTCCCTCTGTGGGCAGGGAGAGGCTAGCGGCAAGACTGTCAGTGCTCGTGGGTCTGGCTCAATTAGAAGTGTGCGATTCTGCTTTAGTTCCTGCTTTCTGGCTATTGGTTTTATTATTATTATTATTAGGTAAAAGGTAAAGGTAAAGGCCCTCCCGTTGATCGTCGATTTGCTCGAGCGGGCCCAGTAACGTCTCCATTGGAGACTTTGTTGTTACTGTGTCTGGCATATCGAATACTCTCGGTAGCTTGCCGGGCTCCCCGAGAGGGGCGGAGGAATCGAACTCGGGTCGGCCATGTTGGCCGCTTGTAAGGCGAACGCCCTACCCATTATTATTATTATTATTATTTTAAGGTAAATAGAAGTTCCTCCTGCCTTTGAACTGGAGTTTGGTCCAGGCTGAGCTTTTCCTATTCCTGAGCTAGGCAGCTCTTTGTGCAGTCCTCCTCCTACAGGCAGGCCTCAGGCTTGCATGTTTGTGTCTCCAAGGGGATCCTCACCAGAGGCCTCTGAAATCCTGATGGCTCTTCTCAAAGGCAAGAAGCATCCTCACTCAGCAAACCTTTGCCTGCTGTCCCCAAGCTGTGGGACAGTCTCCCCTGACCTGTGGGTGCTCACACTGCTCTGAGCAAACACCAGTGGGCTGACAGCACCGCCCCCCACCACCACCACACACACTGCGTCCAGGCCCCCCCTCCACCACTGAGAGGGACGAAGTGAGCGCCCCGGCCCTGCTGTCCCTCTGGGCTGGACAAGCTCTGTCCATCCCAGGCCTCGTGCCTGTACGGGGAAGCTGTGAGGTTCGTGCCCCTGCTCGTAGGGACTCTACTGAGACGCTAGGAAGGGCCTGGCACAGACACCTGGCACGCAGCCAGCGCGGGAAAGGAAAATGTGCCCCCACCCCATGCACAGAGCCGCGAGATAGCAGGGAACCCGCCACCCTCCCCTCCCGCAGCTGATGGGCAGTGAGCCAGGGCGGCTCCTGCTACCCAGCGCCTGCCACGGCCACGCCAGGCCACTGGGTGTCAGGGCTCTGGAGAGAGGAAGAGAGAGGGGCCCCCCTTACTTTCAGTCTCCTTGGGGGAGGGCGGGTATGCGATGCACTTGGAAGGGGCTTCTTGACCTGTGGGGCAAAGGAGGCGGTCAGTAGAGGATGCCCTTGTCCCCGCTGCCCCATATAGTGCCCACTTGGCTGTCCTCGCCAGCTGGAGCACACACACACACACACACACACACACACACCCCTTGAGGGAGCCGTGTCCGTCCCTAGGGCACGTGACTCCCTACTGCTGCCAGCTCCTCTCACACCCAGACGGATGCTCTAGTGCCCAGCATCTTTGACTACTCCCCAGTGTGCAGCCCAGAGTCTGGAGCCCAGGGTGGCGTGGAGTGGCCACGTCCCTCGGTCCCAGCTCATACCCCCTGCTCCCGCAGCTGAGCCCAGAGACTTACAGCAGCTGCTCCTCTCAACCCCTGGGTACCAGAGAGAGGCGTCCTGGGGCGGGAGTAGGGACTCGGGAGCCGGACCCCCCTCCCGGCCAGCCAGCACGGAGCCTGGTCACGCAGTGGGCCCCTGACGCGTGCCCCTCTCGGGCCTCTCACCTCTCTGCACCTGCAGCTCCATGGCCCCATGCACCCGCTGCTCGGAGTGGTGGTGCCATATCTCCACCACCAGGCAGCAGTAGAGGCCGCTGTCCCGCACGGTGAGGCCGTGCATGGTGATGGAGAAGTTGCCGTGATGGTCCGAGGCCGCCTGCAGCCCGTGGCGCAGGGCCAGGCTCTGGTTGCTGCTGGCGGACTGGTGGCTGCGGTGGTACAGGTGCAGGTCCTGGAACGTGAGGTTGCGGATGGGCCGGCGCTCCGAGCAGGCCTGGACCTCGCCGCGCGAGCTGCGGTACCACGTCTTGTAGAAGCTCGCGTTGTGGCCTTTGGCCGAGGGGCCCAGCACTCTGCACGTGAGCGTCACGTTCTGCCCCTCGGGACACACGTACAAGGAATACGGCGTGGCGACCTTGAAGGCGGTCACCAGATCTGCTCAGGGAGACAAGAGCCCGTCACTGACCTGGCTGCCACCATCTGGGCCCCGCAGGGGGAGCCAGCACGGGTGCAGGAGCCGCGGGGGCCTCCGGGGGGCAGCCCAGGGGGTGCAGGGCTAACTGGGGGCTGAGGTGCCCAACCCCCCCCCCCCCCCGGCAGACACGGCCCACAACTGGCATGGTGGGGTGGACAGAGGCAGGATGGGGAGACAGGGAGCAGGATGCCTGTTTGGGGTCTGGGTGGGGGAACAGAGCGTCAGGAAGGGCATTTTGCCTTGTATGCGGCTGACCTGGGTTCAATCCCTGGCACCCCGAGTGGTCCCCCAAGCATACCGGGTGACCCCTGAGCACTGCCCAGTCGAGCCCAGTGGCTCCAAACCAAGGTAAAAACAGCCTGTTTGGAAAAGCAGCTCCTCGCTCTGATCCCCTTCTGGGCCCACAGAATCTTCAGATCCTTCCGGCCGAAGCGGCGTCTTTCAGACTTGTTTGGGGGTCACGGCCAACAGTATTCAGGGCTTCCTCTTGGCGAGGCTTGGGGAACCGTATGGGGTTCCAGGGAATGAACCTGGATCAGCCGTGTTCGAGGCCAGCATCCTGCCCCCGCTTGTCTCTCCAGCCCCAGTCGTTGGCAAGTGGAGAAAGAGCCCTGATCACAGGCACCCCGAGATACGAAGGAGAGGGCCGGGGAAGCCCACGAGGGCATCGTCCACGCACTCCCACCGGCCGACTGAGACGTGTTTCCAAGTTTGTTTTGCTCCCGATAACACGCGAAGCAACCACCCCCGGTTGTCCACACCATGCAGCGTCCAGGAGTCATGCTGCGTTTCTGATGCACTGGCCTTTGAACGCAGAGTAGCCAGGCTGAGACCCTGCGGGCCTACCTGGCCACCCCCTGTCTCCGGGTCTGAGCCCGAGAGGGAGCCCGGGCTGTAGGAGGGGAGGGGAGCGTGAGGCCGCGCCCTCAGCAGAGCTGTGCGTGCAGACAGACCGTGGTCATCGTGGTCATCGTCATCTCTGGGGCCTTTTGAACGCCTCCCCAGAGCTGTTGCAGCCCCGGCAGAGGGAGGAGAACTCGGGATTTCTGTTGTTTTGTTTTGGGGGGCCACACCCAGGTCCTGCATTCAGGGATCACTGCTGGTGGGGTTTGGGGGACTATTGGGGGTGCTGGGGATCGAACCCTGTCACATGCAAGGCAAGCGTCCTCCCCGCTGTCCTGTGGCCGTGACCTGGACCTGGATATGCCGCAGACTCCAGAGAGCTGCATCTTTTCCATTGCTGGACACAGATATTGGCACTTCCTCCTTCCCACCGTGGACCCACAGCAGATGAGGAGGGAAGGGGCCTGGGGTAGGGACTGAATCAGCCTCATGGGGCAATGCAGTGGCAGAGGGAGAGGGGGCCTGGTGGAGCGGGGGCGGGGGGGGACCGAGGTGGATGGGGACTGAATCAGCCTCATGGGGCAATGCAGTGCCAGAGCTGACGCAGCTGGAGAGTGCAGGGAAGGTGCTTGTGGCTGGGTTTGGATCCCTGACATCACATACGGCCCCCTGGCATCACATTCGATCCACTAAGCACCCCAAGGAGTGGTCCCTGAGCTCAGAGCCAAAGTAATTCCTAAGCACTGTCAGTTATGGCTTCCCCGACCCCCCAAAATAGGAGAGGCTGGGACTTGGCCAGGACCGTCTGGACGTGCAGCTTCTCTCTGAAGAGCAAGCCCACGTCAGAGCAGCTTCCCACCCGGGTGTCAGATGGGTGCTGTTCTGCTGCCTCACTCCCTCCAGACTCGCGGGCCCCTGGTGCAGCCCCTCCAGCACCCCTGCCAGCTAATGCCCCTCCCTCCTTCCCAGGGCGCTCCCCTTACTCGGGTCGCAGCCTCACATGGTGGGACCCAGGCAGGGGGGCAGGGCAGGCTCCCGCAGACCTGGGGGTGGGGGGCGGCAGGGGAGAATGGAGTCAGGAACAAAGGTGTGAAGGGCCACGGAAGAACAGGTGGAGTGTCAGGGGGATGGCGGCAGGGAAACAAGCGTGGACCCTTGGCCCGGCTTGGAGTGGGTCATCAGGCAGCAGCAGGGAGCACTGGGGGGCGGGGGTGGCCAGGACCAGGCGTCAGCGCTTCCTGCGTTAGGCTCAGAGAGGGGTTGGAGATGGTGGTGGACAGGGGGTGTTGGGGTCCTGGGGAAAGGCATTGCTCAATCGCCCCCACACCCCAGAGGCCCTCTTCCCCTTTCAGAGAAAGGAGGAACTGCCCTGGGACCAGGTCTGGGGGGCGGGCACCGGCAGACTCTCCCGGGTAAGGGGCAGCCAGGAGGGGCCACACTTATCCCGGGCTCAGTCCCTCTGTTGTGTTTGAGACTCCAACCAGGACAGAGCCTCCGGGCAGCCGGTCTGTGCCAGGTCCGACCAGGGGCGGCTGGGATTACAGTCACAAGGAGGATGTTGCTCATTGTCCGAGCAGAGCCCAGGGACACCTGGGTCATTGTGGGGGCAGCAGCGGGAGAGAGCAGGGAGGAAGGTACCAACTCCAGGGTGGGGACAGGAAGGTGCCCCCCGCTGGGAACCTGCACCCCCTCTCATTGTGCAGCTCCTGGGCCCAGCCCCCGTCCTCCTCAGGCATGCAGTGAGTCTGCGCAGCAGGGCTCAGCCTTAGGACCCCAGTGTGCACCTAGGGGGCCCAGCCCCCACCCATCCACCCCACCTCTGGGTGCTGCAAGCAGGCCCCACCCTTCTCAGGATACCCCCTCCCTCTTTAGACTCTTGGAGACTCCCAGAGTTTCTCCAGCTCTGAGACCTGGGGCAGTAGGAAAGACCCTCTCTGATCTGGCAGGGAAGGGAGCAAGGAACGGAGGCGGATGTGTGCGTGCCTCTGCGTGTCTGCACTTATGGGCCCCTGGTTTGTCTGTCCCCACCAAGCAGTGCCAGCAGCTCAGCGCCACTCCTGGGGGAGGGATCGAACCCAGGACCTCACACCCTCAAGGTGTGCGTTCTATGCCTGGAGCCCCATGCCGGCCCTGTAACATGCTGAGGACTTTGTGCTCCGTCTCTAATTATCCTGGAACCTCCTACCTTCAGGATCCTCACCCCACTTTTAAAGAGAAGAGAGATGCCTCCAGGAGCTGGAGCACATGCTTTGCACGCGGGCACCCCGGGTTTGATCTGGTCTGCGCCAGCATTTTCAAGACAGATTCCTGAGCACTACACCGAGAGCACCCCTGGGAGTGGCCTGAAAATCAAAACACACAAAAAGCAACAATAACGAGAAGGAGACAGAGAAGTCAGTGGAGTTGCCCTGGGCACCAGCCCTGGGAGGAGCAGCCTCCTCTGGCCTGCTGCTCTGCAGACAAGACCCCCCACCCCCCCGCCGGCACCCCAGGCCCCTCTGCTGTGACTGCCCCGTCCCCTGTGTGCCCTCCACCCATCGGTCCCAACTTTGTCCCAGCTGCAAACATGTTCCCTTCATTCCACAAATATTTCCGGAGGTCCTTGCGTGAGCCAGCCCAGGGCAGGGAGGCGGCGGGGTGCAGAGTTCTCTGGGGGCCCCTCCTCAGGCTTGAGTCTTGCTTCTGCCACTTTCTAGCTGTGGGCCGTGCTCAGCTGCTGAGCCCTGGCCAGGTCCCGGGGCCGGGGTGGGAGGAGGCACTCCCCTTTGGCATCGTCCCTGGATGGGCTTCTCATGATTTCCATTCTCTCCCACGGGAGAGCCCGTGGCCGCGGGTGCCAGGGGATGGGCTGGTGTGGGCATGGTCAGGCCTGTTTTTCTTGCGCTTAGCCCGGAGTTGCCAAAGCAACGCCCTGGCTTTGGAGGCAGCGTCCCAGCTTGATTAATCAGGCCTGGGGGGCCCCCACCCAAGCCCCTGAACCCCGGCCAGCGGCTCAATCTTCTCTATAAACAGCTGCTGGCCAGGAGGTCAGGTCCTGGTCATCAGATGTGAGACTGCCTCCAGCTCCCGGTCAGACCCTGTTTCCCGGTTGATCCTCAGGACCCAGACGGGGAAGGTTGGCTCAAGTTACAGAGCAGGCGGGGAAACAGAGGCAAGGGCAGGTCCTAATGCGCCAGCCAGCTCTGAGCTCCGGGAAGTGCCTGGGGAGCTCCCGCCCGCCCAGGGGACCCGCCAAGGAGGACAAAGGGCATCTCAGATGTGTTTATTGATACCTGCCCCCGCAGGAAGTATCCATTCACAGGGGCCAGGAGCCGGGAAGGGGAAGCCGGGCTGTATTGGAGGAAGCTGGGCTTCCAGCACCTTGGGAAGCGGCCGTACATCCGGGGCTGGAGGTTGGTGGCCTGGGCGGGTGGCCAGGAGCCCCACCAGTGGACGCTGCTGGGGATGAGGCTCGACCCCGCGCCCCCAGGCCTGCGTGCACCACGCCCAGCAGCGCCTGCTGTTTGGGTCCAGGCTCGGCTTCTCGATCCCTGGCCGCAGAGTGGCCGTCCAGGGGCTGCCCTTACGTCCTTGGGCAGCTGCTTCTGTCCCCTCGACGCGCTGGCTTCCTTCAGCCTCCCCCTCTCGGAGCTGGCAACTGCCATCCTCCCCATTCTCCATTCCAGAGCAGGAAACAGAAGCACAGGGCCCTGATGAAGCTCTCAGAGCCGGACAAGGAGGGAAAGCGCCTGCTGGGATTGAACCCCAGGGCAGGGGCCGGGACCTCGCGGTGGCCCCGCCTCCCCGCTCAGATGGACGGGCCGCCCGGCTAATGAGGGAGCAGCTTGTCCAGGCCTGGGCACAAAGGCTCCTGGCTCTCCCTCTCTTGCCGTGTGGCGGTTGGGGACAGCTAACTGGACAGGCTCCGGGAGGCACCTGACCCGAGCCCCTGAGTTTCCCTGGACGTGAACTTTTGAGTGGGGTAAAGCAGTGGTGAGGGAGAGTTGGGGGTCTGGAGTGTACCCCGCTCCTTCCCCAGGAAGGGGAACAAGCCGGTCCCCAGCTTGCTGCAGACAAGAACTAGCGGTGCCCATGGCCTGGGCCATCCACTCTGTGTTGTAAGGCACTAAGTAACCTTGAATCATATAGAGAACAGCTATTCCCTTTTCAATTCCCTCTTGGTCCCGATGACATCAAAGAGAAAGTTCCAGTTTGATGGAAACTATCAAAACATCTCTAGTCACCTGTCAATCTCTCTCTCTCTCTCTCCTCTCTCTCTTTATTAATTTTTTATTTTGCAAGGGACAACAACTTTCAGATTCAGAGCCTTCCCTCAGCCTCGAGTTTCCAACTAGGATTTAATAGCCTTATTTGGTTTTCTTATTATACACTTTTATGCTTTTGTTCTATTTATGGCAAGTGGTACTGGCTTTCCATTTATGGTGGCGATATAAAGTTGTCTTTTAAGATATATTTACTTAAGTCAAAGCGTGGGCACATTTAAAGGGCAGATCTGAGAACATGCAGGTAAAGCTGCGTCGAGCCTGAGAATTCCCAAGGTGGCGGAGGTTGGGCAGTGCTGCGGTAAACACCGGGCCAGCCCCAGGTCCCCACCTGCCCACAGCGGGGCGCAGGGGCGTCTGTGCTCACAGTCCTCAGCGAGTGATCACAGAGGCAGGACTACTTCCCAGGTCCCCATGGGGAAGGCAGAGGTTATCACTGGGACTGTGATGGATGCAGAAACCCCGTATCTGGCCAACTTTAGGAGATACTGTGGGGAACCCCCAGATGCGGGACTAAGTTCTGACAGGACCACCGGATGATTGTGCCCCTGTCCACGTCCTTCAGACCTCCAGGATCTGAGTAATCCAAGTCCGGGGCGGGGGTGGGGTTTGTTGTGCCCCTCCCCTGAACTCTCAGGACAGGGGTTCCTGTGCAGAGTCACGGCCCAGAGGACTCTGGAAGTCACACAGCAGCCTCACCAGGCCCTGGGCTAGGGGCACCGGGCTCACCGAGGGCGGGGCTGGCACACCCCCTCGTGAGAGACAGAAACTTGCTCTCTCGGGGCTGTCAAATGACGTACGCAGAGTGGCAAGTGTGTAGGGTGGCAGACGTGCAGAGTGGCAGACACCAAGAGTGGCAAACAGAGTGGCAGACACAGAGTAGCAGATGTGCAGAGTGACAGACATAGAGTGGCAGACACGCCATGGCAGACAGACACAGTGGCAGATGGGAGCACAGCGCAGTGGTAAAGGGCATCCTGGCATCCTGGGACATAGCGTGGCACGAGACCCTCGCAGCTGCACTGCTGTGCAGAAGCGCCGGGGTGCCCGGGACGGCTCCACACAGGCGCCGCCAAGGAGGCCTCGGAACAGCCAGGCCTGCCTCTCAGGGACCCCACGACCCACCAGAAACTGTTGCCCACCCTGAGTGGGCACCACAGGGCTCTGGGGGAGTGGTTGGCAGAGGCTCCAGCTGTGTGGGCTGTGCTGGCTGAAGGGGTCAGGAGCAGGCTTAGGGGGCGGGGCAGGGGGGGATTAGGGACCCTTCCTTTGTTTCTGCTAGACACCGTGTGTGCGCATGTGTGTGTGTGTGTGTGTGTGTGTGTGTGTGTGTGTAGTAAGCGGTGGCCACAGGACACCTTTGCCCTGCTGGGTGTGAGCAGGAGAACCCCCTCAGCTCAGTGAGGAGCCCCTCCCATACTGCCCAGAACCCCCCCACCCCCCTGCCTGACTCAAGGCCTGGCCGCGGGCAGTGGTGCAAGATTTCCCAAGAGCTGGCCAAGGCTGCGTCAGAGACTTACACCACAGCCTGTAGCCCCGCTACAGCAGGGGACAGGGGACTCAGCCCAGTGTGGGGAGTGGGGGAGGGGGGAGCTCCTGGGCCCAGTGAGGACAGGGCAGGACAGTCACCTGTGGGGGCTCTCGGAGGAGGAGGAGGAGGAGGAGGAGGAGGAGGAGGAGGAGGAGGAGGAGGAGGAGGAGGAGGAGGAGGAGGGGCTTGGGCTCCGCTGGGTCCTGGCGTCCCCCTGCCTCCCACACCGTCCCCCCTGAGTTAGTTAGGCCCAGGAAAGAGGTGACAGCAGCCTGGAGAGACAGCACAGCAGGGAGGACGCTGGCCGTGCATGCAGCTGACCCGGGTTCGAGCCCGCCCCCCCTCCCCCAGTGGTGCTTTTGAGCCCTGCCAAGAGTGATCCCTGAGCACAGAACCAGGAGTAAGAGTCTGAGCACTGCAGGGTGTGGTCCCCAAACAAAACAAAGTGTGGGCTCCAGTGCTTCCTCCTGGGCCAGAGACACACCCCACTGTTCTCAGGGTGTTGGTCTCCATCCCACCCCTCAGCTACCCCCCCCACCAGCACCTGGCACCTGGACACTCTCCCGCATCTCGCCGTCCACCTGCCGGGACCCTGGGCTGAGGGCAGACGCACACGCTCAGTGCCAAGAAGCCGCCTCTAAGCCGGATTCCAAGAGCTCTGGGGGTGGGGATGCAGGGGGCCTTGCAGTTCCCTGTGCCCAGTCCTCTGCAGCATGACCACCCGCCCCCCTCCTTATCAGGGGCTCAGCCCGGCTTCCAGGGCAAGATAACACGCTGCCTGCAGGCTCCATGGGTTTCTGAGGTGTTTTTCAGCTTGGCCCCTTTCGCCCCTCCTAGCTGCTCTCCTCCCCTGTTCCTGCTCTCGTTTCTCTCCCACCGTGACTCACACCTTCCTCCCTTCGGGGACCGGCAGTCCCTGCGCTCAGCTGCAGGCTACACTGAAGACGCAAGCGGCGGCTGAAGGTCCCCCAAGTCCCTGGTCCTGCCAGATTGATACATGGCACCAGACCGTTCTGGAAGAAGAGAGGGAGCCCCCCTGGGTGGGAACTGTGTCTGAGCAGAGGAGACCGAGGCAGAAGGTGGCCATAAGTTCTTGGAGAGCCCTGAAGGGGTAGGGCTGGTGCTCTGCAGCTCCTGGACCGTCCCGAGCTGCAGCTTTCTTAGAAACCAGGCGGACAGCACTGCCCGGTTGGGAGATGGGCACTGCCCCCCTCAGGCTTAGCCTGCAGGACCTGAGAGTCTCACACCCCCGCAGCCCAGAGAGACGCAGAGGGAGGGAGGCAGGGCGCTCAGTCCCAGCACCGTCCTGGCTCGGGCGGGGCTCTGTCCTGCTCCCAGGAGTCAGAGGTGGTGCCGGGCAGCCTGGGGCTGCTGGCCGCCTGCAGACCTGCCCTCTCGGGTCCCCATCAACCCCGGCAGAGACTCCACTACTCTGCCCCCGAGGAGCCCTCCGCCCCGGAGCCAGCCCGTGCCGACTCCCTCCCTCCAGCCTTACCTCGGGAGGCAGCCAGGAAGAGCGCCAGGAGCACGGGTCCCCAACTCCGGCCACCAACTTCAGGGGCCAGGGAGACGCCCATGTCGCCAGCCGCGGGGCAGGGCAGAGTCGGGACACGGGGACACGGAGCGCCCAGATGAGATGCAGCCGGAGGGGAAACCTCCGAGGAAGTGAGCACCGAGTGAGTGCAAACAGGCCAGAGCCCAGCATCGCCTGCCAGACCAGAGTCAGCCCCGGTGCCCAGCGCCCCCTGGAGGCCGTTGGGACCTCTGCCCTGGAGCGGCCCTGCCCTCGAGTGGGGAGGCCCGTGGCCCAGAGTGTGTCTGACTCTGAGCACAGCTATGCAGCTTCAAAGCTGTCAGGGGCTCTGCCATTGCACCCAGTGTTCCCATGGACCCAGGGTCCAGGATATGGTGGAACAGATGGATAGATGGATGGACACATGGATGGGTGGATGGAGGATGGATGGATGGGTGGATGGATGGATGGATGGATGGATTGATGGATGGATGGACAGGTGGATGGATGGATGATGGGTGGATGGACAGACAGATGGATGGATGGATGGATGGATGGATGGAGGATGGCTGGAGGATGGGTGGATGGAAGCATGACTGGATAGATGGATGGACAGATGCATGGACAAATGGATGCATGCACGGATGGATGGATATATGGATGGATGGAAGATAGATGGAAAGATGGATGCATGCATGGATGGAGGATGGATGCATGGATGCATGGATGAATTGATGCATGCATGCATGGACAAATGAATGAAAGGAGTCCCAACTTTCGTAAGAGCTAGGCCAGTTGGAGCAGCCTTGACTCTAGATTTCAGAACGAGCACCAACTTTGAGTGTGTGCACACATGCGCACACACGCCCAACAGGCACCTCCTCAGACACGTCTGTGCACATGAGTGACATCGTGTGTGCATCCAATAGAACTCCGTGCAACTCCTCTCTCTGAACCCTGGCTTTCCTTCTATTTCTGCACCTAACCTCACTCCTGGTTTCCTGGGTATCTAGAGCACACATACATGTACAGACATATACATATACACACGAGCACATATGTAGAGCCACGTGTGCCACACAACCCCAGCACCGTGGCAACCTGTCATTGTCTCTCCTCTCCACCAGCTTCTCAGTGCTCACGGCTCAACTGGAGCCCCTCATTCCACCCGGTGCCCCAATCTGCCCCGGTGGGGGCCCCCTCCAGCCCTTCCTACCCACACTGCCTTCAGCTCTTCGCCAGGCCTGGGGTTGCCATCCCATGGCCTGGCACGTCCTGGTAATGGCCATCCTGGTCCAACCATGCCCCCTTTGAGGACCAGAACTTCTCCCTGACATGACTGAGTCCCAGACATAGACTGAGGATGGCTCAACTCTAGGAAGGAGCCCATGGCAGCTGGCCCTGGCAGGTGGTCAGGGGGAGAAGGTTGGCACTGCTTGACCCAACTCCCCCAGCCTGGCCGATGCTTCCACGGGCCTTGCTGGCTCACTGGGGATCCTGTGCTCACAGGCTACCCCCAGGGAAGGGACAGAGGAAGCAGGATCCAGCTGGGTCAGGAACTGGGGTGGATGATGGAAGGACGGCCGGATCTGTGCCCTTGCTGGCGGGATGCTGGGCACTCACCCGGGGCAGGAAAGGCGACCCGAAGTGTCATGTCATTCTTACCAGGTGAGCCAGCCCTGTGGAGCCAGGGCCCCCATGGAGCATCACAGACTTCTGGGCTATGCCAGGTTCCTTGGTCATGCCCAGCCCTGTGACCCCGCTTGCTCTGGGCACATCGAGTTCCTTCCCCTGGAGGGGGCAAAGCCAGTTGAAATTAGGTAGTCCCGCACCACTTCTTGTCCTGCCCTGCCCTGACAGGGCTGAGTGGGGGTCATTAGGCAGTGATCCCTGGGGCCACTGTCTTTCTGGCTCAGACCCCATCACTCCGCCTGCCCTCCTGTAAAGGGCTGCAGCGTCTGAGCCGCACCCTGTCCTGCCCTCTGGGTGGCTCTGGTTGGCATCAGGCTCCCAGAGGCATTGCCCAAGGTGTGGGCATGGCCCAGAGCCTCAGCACCATTTCCCTGAAACAGCAGAAACTCTGGGGGCTCCAACTTCCTCCCCACTCCAGGGCAAAGATGTCAACTCCCCTCACCCATGGCACAGACCTGGCTCGGGAAAGATGCAGCCCTGTTAGCGTCTCACTAATGGCCCGTCTCGAGGAGTGTGGATGCAGACGGGCTCAGCCCTGCCCCCTTCACAGTCTGGAATCCAGCCCTTCCTGCAAGGTGTCACTGTGCCTGGTGACAGAAGGGGTCTCAGGGACCCTACTGTCCCCTCATGAGGGTAGAAGTTGCTTTTGCTCCAGATGAACTCACTGGCCTCCCTTGAATTCCCATGGATACTCAGACATTCGGGGTCCCACCACTACCTGGGAACCACACCTTGTGGTGTTCAGGGCTACTCCTGACTCTGTGCTCAGGAGAGCATGTGGTACTAATGACCAAACTGAGTCTGTTTAAAGAGCCCGTGTCTTCCTGCTGAACTGTCTCCAGCTGTGTGTTGTGTGTGTATGCGTGTGGGTGCACGGGTATGCATGTGTGTTTGTGCATGCATGTGTATGTGCATGCATGCATATATATGGGCACATGTGCATGTGTGTACATGCATGTATGTGCGTGTGTGTGCATGTGTGCTTACGTGTACACCTGTGTGCATGTGCATATGTGTGTGAAGATTATAAAATACATGTGAGCATTTCAAGATAACAGGAGCAATTTCCAAGGGATTTCATTTTTTTTTAATGCTGATGTTTTAATTTTGATCTGATTGCAGCTGCCCAACTCTATGGGCTACGGAGAAGTTTGTCATCAGCTAAATCTGCAATAGAATCATTTTGTTTAAGTTTACAGAATGTCTGTTGTTTCATGTATTTAAATTTTTCGCTGTCAAGTAATGACAATGCAGATTTAATATATTACATAGATCTTTTTTGTAGTAAAGGGTTATTTTTTCCTTATTTACATAGGCTAAAATCATATAGCAAACGCAAATTAGCTCTTCCTCATTTATTTCACCATCATTCTGTTTGCCCTTTCTTTTCTTTTAATCACAGTGAGTTTCAGTTACCAAGTTGTTCATGATTGGTTTTCAGTTATACAATGTTCCAACGTCCATCCCTTCAACGGTCAGTGTACATTTCCCACCAAGAATATCCCTAGTTTCCCTCCCACCCATTCCCATATCTTTATGTCAGACACTTTTGTTCTCTCTCTCTCTCTCTCTCTCTCTCTCTCTCTCTCTCTCTCTCTCTCATACATCTCTGTACCTTCAGCACTCAGTTCCTGTCCAGAGTGATCATTTCCAGCTGTCATTATCATCCTGGTCCCTCCTCTATCCTGCCTGTCCTCTGCTCCACACTCACTTGTGGCAAGTCCATCGACCAGTCCTCCTGGCTCCTGTTTTCCCTGTCCTTGGGTATTAGTTTCAAAGTATTTTTTCATTTCCCCCAAATGAGTGCAGTCATTCTGCCTCTGTCCCTCTCCTGATTCATTTCACTCCGCATGATACTCTCCATGTCCATCCACTTATAAGCGAATTTCATGACTTCGTCTTTCCTAACAGCTGTGTTAGTATTCCACTGCGTGCGTGTACCGTGGTTTCTTTATTCGCTGTCTGTTCGCGGGCACTCGGGCTGTTTCCAGATTCTGACTATTGTGAATAGTGCCGCAATGAACATAGAAGTACAGATGGTGTTTCTGCTGGGTGTTTCTGGGGCCCCAGGGTGCATTTCCAGAAGTGGTATTGCTGGGTCAAACGGCAGCCCAATTTCTAGTTTTTTGAGGAATGTCCATATAGTTTTCCATTCTTGAAACAGACACTTCAGGCACAGAACACACCACTCACATACCTGAGAGAAACACCCTAGGAATATTCAAATGATGCATTTTTATTCCCCCAAATGATTTATATTTTAAAAGGTGCTTTATATTTTAACAAAGATTCTTCAAGATTTTGAAACCCAAAGGAGTGTTTTCCTAGTAGTGGGGGTCAATCCCCATGTTGGATGACAATAGAACAGAACCCCAGAATGTCTGCACTGGAAGGGACCTGAGATATCAAGTCCTTTATTAATAAACAGAAAGGAACCAGAGAGGAGAGGCAACTTGCCCAAGGTCACACAGCTTCATATTAGGGCTGAAGACGCTACCTACTTTCGAATGGTTCCATCAGCCACCTAGCCCCCAACTCCCCACCTGATCCTCGCCTAACCCTCACGTAACCCTCCTGCTCCAGACTCAAAGCCTTCGGGGGGCAGGGATAGTAGGAGGAAATGGCTCGAAGGCCTGAAAGCCTGAGATGCTGGGTTCGATACCCAGCATCCCATAGGATCCCCTGAGCACCGCCAGGAGTAACTCCTGAGTGCAGAGCTAGGAGAACCCCTGTGCATCGCCAGGTGTGACCCAAAAAAACAAAAAAATAAAAAATGAAAGAGGGGCTGGAGCGATAGCGCAGAGGATAGGGCATTTGCCTTGCATGCGGCTGACCCGGGTTTGATTCCCAGCATCCCATATGGTCCCCCAAGCACTGCCAGGAGTAATTCTGAGTGCATGAACCAGGAGTAACCCCTGTGCATCGCTGGGTGTGACCTCCCCCCAAAAAAAACACAACCAAAAAAAAGTGAAAGAAAAGTTTGGATATTTGGGGGGTTCTTTGGGGGTGGGGGAGAAACACATGCTGCAATACTCAGGGCTTACTCCTGGCTCTGCACTCAGGGTTCATTCCTGGCGGTGCTTGGGGGACCATATGAGATGCTGGGGATCGAACCTGGGTCACCCATGTGCCTCGGGCAAGTTCCCTATTCTCTGTACTGTTGCTCCAGCAAGAAAAGTTATTTTACTTATATTTATTTTTTATTTTTCGGCATTGCACACTGGCGATGCTCAGGAATTCCTCCTGGTTCTGTGCCGAGGAATCACTCCTGGCAGGCTCAGGGGACCACATGGGATGCCGGAGATAGAACCCAGGTTGACCTCATGCAGGGCAAGTGCCCTCCCCACTGTGCTCTCTCTCTCCAGCCCCTGAAAAGTCATTTTTAAGAGATAAAAATTTAGTGGCCCGGGGATAACCCACTACCAGGAGTGGGCGACATCTGACCCCAGCACTGCCCACA